ATCTATCTATCTATCTATCCATCCATCCATCTGTCATGGTGGTGCTTTGGTGAATCATCAGTGTCAGGCAGCAGAGTGGGAAATGTTTTACAAATGCTGCCTGTCAGGAGGGAGGAGACCATCCCCCGGAGGTTTCAATCACCCTCCAAACCCGCCCCACCCCGTCTCCCTCCATCCTTCCATCTCGCCATCAGCAGAGGTGCTAATGAGCCCAGGAGAGGTGGGGGGAGTACCGAGGGAGGGGTGAGAGGGTGAGCAAGATAGTGCAAATGAGGTGATCAAGTCATGCTGCGTGTGTTTGGGTTTGGACTATCCATCACACACGAGTGAGGGAATGCTGCTGCATGTTGGACTCAGTGACGGTGGTGTCACAGTGATGTGAGCGGCAGGTCGTGACATGAGGTTAGTGTGTAGTGACTCATCCTGTTGTAGGACACAACCCATCGACACGGACTCTTCCAAGTGCTTCCATGATGCCTGGTTTATTCCAATTAGTTCTAATATTAGGATGTGTCTGCACGGACACGGCTTCACTACACACACGTGCCTTGTGCCAGCTCGCAGTAAGAAAGAAGCCTTTCAGGCGCCCAGCGCACAGCCAAGCCAAGCACAGCAGTCACTTCTGGAAACCACTTGGCACACGCCCACGTCCCTGTTCTGAGCTGCACGCAGTGAGTTGAAGTGTGTGAGAAAACCAGAATGGACCCTGGGTGCTTCCTGATGCATTTTACCAGCCGTACATTAGTACCACCTGAAAGACTTTACCTTTAAAATGTGTAGAAAATCAATAAACACTGTAGTTAGTGACATATTCCAGAAGTTTCATACAGAAATTACCTTTCATTATAAGAATAAAAGCACTTAAGGTGCTCTGTGAGGCTGTAGTCGAAATTCAAAATTTTTTCTGGGAATTTGATCTTTAGGATTCATGGTGAAGAGCATTTACCAGAACATGGTCCAAACAAAAATCATTCTTCAGGACCTGTGCTTCTACTGTTGAATAAATATAAATACATTTCAAAATACAGTCTTTGGTTTTTAACAGTAAATCCTTAGATACTTCAGGTTTTAACACAAGACATTAAAGGTTTTACTCTTTATTTGCTATTTAACACTATATTCATTATATCCGTTCAACATTTTTGATTAGCACTGAACACAAAGCACAACTGAGCCTGATGGCACTAAATACATAGTCAGGAAATCATAAAAGTCATTACAGTTCATCCTTGTAAATAAGTAACTGTAAATGTGGTGGTGACACTAGATTAAGTCATGAAGTAATTAAGGTTCATCTTCTGAGGACGATGAACATCTGAACACAATTTTATGCCAATCAAAACAGTAGTTGTTGAGATATTTCAGCTTGGAAGAAAGAAGTGGATTATCTGACAGACATTGCAAGTCCACCAATCCTTTGTTTTCCTATAAGTAAATAATTGAAATACATGCATGAACCATTAAGTTTAAATAAAGATAATATTTTCAGGATGATTTTTAGCTTCTGTTGCTATTGAGAATACAGACTTTTACATGGAAACATTCATTCATTGTCTGTAATTAATTTAAAAGACTGTTAAAAAGACATTTCCAGTCAAATACATCTCATTATGTATCTGTTTTGCAGTTTGACCACACACCAGCAGCTTGAGGGTGGTTAACAAAGGGAGCTGCTAGAGGACTTTTTGAAGGGGCCTTTCAATTAGCTCCAATCGAAATATAAAGAAAAAACTTTAAATCCCCACATTGTAACGGTGGCTCGCCCATATATTCCATCAAACATCACAAGATGATGTAGTGCCTCATTTACAGGAATTGATATGGACGATAACCACAAAGGACAAGATAGAATTACCAGACTCAAGGATTTTTATTTCACTATTTATCCTTCAGTAGCCATGTAACAGGGACAAAAGTGGTATCACCTTTCTTGGTCTGCTTGCCATGCATATTTATGGTTCTACAATGCAAAGCTACACATGTTTTACTGCCGACTGTTTTCTCCAAAGCAGCACATACTTGAGAACAGAAATCCGTAGAAGGCAGAGAGATCGTCCGTTCATGTGTGGTTGGATATGAGTTGTTATCTTGGGATTTGAATCATCAGCTCGGTTTAATTTAACAAAAGAAGCTGCTTGGTGTAAACCAGCTGTGGTATGATAAGGCCTTTGAGACGACGGTCTCTCTCTATGATGTGATTAAAGCTGCAAGACGCCATTTAACATTTAAGATAATCCTCAATGGTATCGTGACTTTTATACAATGTTTTGCCAATTTTCTCCCAAGTTACCACAAAAGCGATTGCAAAAATTACATTTGCACAGTTAGCAATGCTTAACGGAATTTACAGAATGGAGGAAGATTCATTAGTGCATCTCGCTGATGATACTTTGATGGACCTTTAATGACGACCATGCTAGTAATTGTAATGCATACAGTTTGCCTGAACCCCCCCAACCCTTTAACCAGTTACCGTACCAATAAGCAGTTATTTCAGGTGATTTACCTGGGATAAATGCCGCTGACCATGTCCTGAGCCAGGAGATCGGACGCTGCATGGCTTGGCCCTGCTGCTTTGGAAATGAGCAGGACGATAACGCCCCTCATCTGAAGGTTGTTCCTGTTGTCATAGACAAAACCTCTGCCAAGAAACAAGAGCAGACAAAAATACTATTAGACATTCATCGAAAGCATTTGATTTTCTTGAACGTAGACACTGAGTTTTAATGCCCTTTTTGTAGACACTGATAGAAATCACGCCAATTGATTTGAGCTATTGTTAAAATACAAATTATATATTATAGCTTTACAAGTATTTGTATTTCTTCTGTTTTCATTTTTTAGTTGGACAGGAATATAAAAAATACAACTTCCAAGCATCAGGTAATTTAAAACACAATTCTGGCCTATATAATATTTTCTATACAATAGCAGCTAAGTCTTGCACAGTTGTTTAATGCTACATGATCTTTTGTTGTTGTATAAAATCTGAATACATTTCTAAATGAAGAATTCACTGTGCTAGGTAAAAAAATAAATAAAGTAGCAGCAATATAATTGATCAGTTTTGCTGCAGAAATGTATTTTCTCTTTTGGCTGTCGGTCTCCCGCCCCCTAGCCAACAACCCTCTGACACATTCACAGAAACACACACACGCACACACACAAAGACACACACAGTGCACAGTGGTAACTGCCGGCGTGGTGGGCAGATTAAATATCTTTTTACTCTCTCTGGGGAGCAGTTAGACAGAGCACCTCTAATCCTGTTCCTATGGGAGCCCCTCGTGCCATGAATCACGCTCTCGTTAGGGGCTCGGAGGCAGACAAGCAGCCACGCCCCCCTCCACTCGATGCCCAGACACCAGCCTCACCACCAACCCAGAGCCCCCACCTTCACACCCCACCTCTCTGACCCACCCCTGCACCACAGGGGGAGGTAAAGAGGAACCTGCGACAGAGTGGATGCAAAAGATAGAGCATGAAGACAGGGAGGGGACAGAGAGAGATGGAGGAAAAAGAGGCCGAGAGAAAAGATGACAAAAGAAATATGTGAGTGACTCTGGTAGCAAATAGGGAAAAAAACACACATGCCCAGAAGCTTTGTTCCTTCCAAAAAAAACCCAAATCTATCACATAAAACAGCTCCCGCTATGTTACCTAAAATTTACGATACAGCTGACATTATGCAGCTCGTGAGATTTATTTATGTCCCACTAAATTTTTACTCAGTTGGAAAATAGTGGCTAACCTGGTGCAGTTATGAACGCAGCAGCATGGCCTGCTGAACACAAAACTGCTACAGAGCAAAAATCCTGAAGCTGCTCTCCTCTGGAGGAGTCCAGGTAAGTCAGTGGCCTGAGGGTGGCAGATGATTAATATTTATGTCACTATCCACACCAGCATACATCAATCAATCACAACCGCCCTCCTGCAAAGGGGTGGGGCGAGGATGGTGTGGAAAAAGAGGGATAGTGAGGACTGGAGAGAGAGAGGGAGCAGAAAGAGAGAAATGGGCTGCCGTCATTTTAAAGGGTTGTGAACAGGTCACCACGCCTTCTGCTCTGCAAATGCACCGCAGGAATTCAGGAACTTCAGCCAGCACACGCAGGGGCCGGATTTAATATATGCAAATATATGACCTAACATGCGTGGTGCCATATTGATCCTCTGTCCTTTTTTCCCTTAGTAATGAATGAATGAATGAATGTGCCCAATGTGGCTGCACTTTTCACATGGTGAGTATTTATGCAACACGTTCACCGTATGTGCAGAGTATATGTCTTCATGAAAACATGTTCCAATGGTTTGTTCAACTTTCCAGGATTTAATTATCACATTGTCGAAAACAAAATGACTGATTTTGATAATCAAATTTTCTTTTTTGTCATTTTTTGAGCTAAACACCATTTCCAGGTTCAAGTTTCTAAAATGTGAGAAATTAGTGTGTATATTTGTCATACATAACAGTGAACTGAATATTTTGGGTTTTGGACTGTTGCTCTGAAAAAACACTTGAAGAAATCATCATGAACTCTTTGTAACAATACAGGGAATTTTTTTTTATGCGATACATTTACTCACAGAAAATATTTGACCTATTTTGACATTTAAGGGCCTTTGTTTTATAGATACGAAGTGTAAGTGCAAAAATCAAAGAGATCATATTGTTGGTTATAAAAGCCAAATAATAAATGAATAAATAAATACATTCAAATATTGGTCAACTAGAATGGCTCTATACATGTGCCAAGGCCCAACATTCCCCTAAAGAAATCTTTATTTGGATCTGCACCAAATTGTAAACACTAATGAATATCAGTCCCTTAAAGATCTTCGATTATTTTCATTAGACCGTAAGTCTGCGCACAAAAATGAAAGAGACCATATTGCTGGATAAAGGATCCAAATACACCATTTAAATTCTATATTAAACAATAAAGTCGATACATTTCATCAGTAAATACTACACACAGTATTAAGATCTACTGACATTGATAATAAGCACATACTAAGTATTATATACTAAGTATCATAAATGGTTATTTCATAGAGGTTTGGAGGCATATTTTACTGATAATATGCTGTTGTATTATACAGCTAGGAAATATGGATATCGCTGCATACATTGGATGTAATTCTTTGATCCCAAAATATTTAATTAATTTGGTTATATTGAGTTTTAATTTTTGCATTACAGTAAGATATAAGAAAAAAAATATTTCTAAACACACACAAAGGTTCTGTACCTTCCAATTTATCAACCAAGTGATTTTTCTTTTTCTCATATTTATTTTATCTTTACAGCTTTTAACTTAGTGTCAATGTTGTCATGTTTTCATATTTTTTGTAATCCTCCCTCTTTTCAAGCTGTGATATCTGATTGTTGGAAATTACTTTCATATAAATATATATATGTAAAAAAGGTGTGGGTTGTCTGCGTGAATTACCAGGCCACTCTAAATCAAGCTTAATTAAACCACACAGATTGAGCTCTGATTGGGCAGATTAACTCCATTTTTGATCGGAAAACTCAAACTCAAACTTTTTTTCTCTCCAAACTTTGACTTTGTTCAAATCTTAATTAATCATGAACAGCTTCAGCTTTGGCCTCTCACTTACATGGGCTTTAATCCAAAAGGACAAAACTGAAGGAAAATGACACAATGTTTTGAGAAGATACGTCAAGGCTGCAAACTGGAGACTGTTTTGGTCTCCTCTGCAAATAGACAAACTCATTTCAATATTCACTCTAGTCAACACTGTAGCTGGAGCAGACAGAGATATTGTGCATCAGTTGATGTCATATCAATGGCCACTGTATTGATCAGGGTAATGATGATCACAGGTAAGACTGCAAAAGAAGTGGAGAAAGGTAGAAATCAGTAGAACTGAATTCCAGTCCAACTCTCAAGGACTGTCCTTAAAGCAAGTTAAGTTTCCTCTCCTGGGTCGCAGTCCCCTCGCTGTAACTCCAGACTTTGGGCCAAAGTTAGCTGAGCTGCAGTTTTTGAGAATGAAAGGAAAGGAAAAACCGAAACCCAACTCCACGAGGGTCTGCCTGTCTGCTGTTGTGGATATTTTTATCTGCCGCTCGTCTAAGGCGGAGACACAGTGGGAAATACGAACCAGCCAACCCAAGCTGACAGTGAGGAGTCAGACTGTCAAGAGGTCTGCTTCCCCCCTCAACACCCCCGCCCCCTGCTACAACACCCAAATGGATTGTCATATCAGATTTAGGTGTATAGGTTATTACACCCTTGGGCTCCTGTTTCCAACATGCCCGTCTGCATGGCGGGATTGAGTTTGAGGACTCTCTCTTCTCGTTCTCTTTGGTTCTCCAAGTTCCTGATTTTGTCTGATAAAACACAAAACTATGATAAAGTTATGGGATAATATCTGGAAGATGTGACCTGCTTATCTTTTTTCAATGCACAAGTGTGTCTTTGCAGTTGCATCACACAACAGCCCTGGCTTTGTGCGAACATCTGGAACGGGATAGACCTCTAATGAAGTTGAAGCGTACCCACACAGAGGTGACGGTGACTGTGGGAGGTGAGTCCTTGCCCTGGTCTGCAAGAAGAATCAATACACTGTGTTCCTTAAATCACAATATTTACTTTAGAAGAAATAGGATGCATCCACCACAAAGGTAATGGCTCAATTAAGTATTAAGACCTGAATCTGCCAAGTCTATGAAGAAACACAGGCTTTCTTTGGAATCTTTCTCTGAAAGTGAAGACATCAATTCATGACATTTCTGCTTCCAATACAAGGTGTTATAAGTACGTTTTCGAGAAAGTATTTGCATGTGTGACTGGGCCCTGATGTGTTTTCGTGCCGGGAAAGGGTGGGAGTGATGATGTCATGTACAGGGCTTCAATCATCATTGGGTTTTCAAAACAAGAGGTTATAATTCGCCCTCAGCAGATCTTCAGGGCAGACTGGACACTACAGTGATGCTGTAAATTATACATATTATTCTTTACCCCAGAATGGGCCCTTAATATTGAAATACTTTACATTTACATCAGGAGCAGGTCCTCACTGCAGAGGCCATCATGTTTTTTTACAGTAGCCCAAACTGGACAAACTACACCTACTCTTCCATGTTTGGAAGGGGAGGGTGGGGTGAGGGGTATTCAGCTGCACCATGCAACATCACCACTAGATGTCACTAAATTCTACACGCTGAACCTTTAATTGTAATGTTGGCTTGGAAGCAATAGCGAAAAAAATACAGCTCCTTTCGACCAGGAGCTCTCAAACTTTTCAGTCACGGACCCCCCCCCCCCAAAAAATAAAGATGCCAGAGAAATGCAACCCCCATTATCCCTGGAGTTGGTTGAAGCATTCAAAACACCTATATGCACATGTCTCAGTGTTTCCTGTGGTGCTGAGAATGGTCCTGCTGCAACTGATGCTGTCACATAATCCTAATAATTTCTTCTTCTCGATCTCTTCTTATAATTATGGCAAAAATAAGCTTTTTCTAATTGCTTATAACTTTTATTTGATTTCAGTGCCTGGGTCAGTCCCAGCCCTAGCTTTAGACAGTCCATATGTCCACATATACCAAATTCAGTGCATTAATTTTCTAGTGAGAGTTCATAGAAGTGGCCCCACTCACCTTGTAACTACGTATATAGATTTCTGTGTCTGTGGAATTACTGTCAGATTGCCTTGTTCGGTCTAGAGGGAGTTTCAATTAACTTCCAGGAGCAACACTTGTTTTCTGCCACATGTTTCTTCACACTTGTATCTTGCAGGTTTTTTGCTTACTTAAGTGGCCACAGTTAGTATCATAGGATGTGTTTCTACTTCGCGACTTAACAGGTCAAACAGTGTGTTTACATGATATTCTGTTATTCATCTAAAAGCCAAATGTCAAATGTTTCTGGATTGGCACATCAATCTCTAAACACATCCAGTTAGTGCACTCCATTAAGAATCAAAACGTTTTTTCTAGTATATGTGTACTTTACATGCTCCTTAAGGAAAAATACCAAAACCTTCCAAACCCCCTGACTCAGCACTGAGGGAATGACATCAGATCAATAAAGTGTAGCATCAAAGAAGATACAAGCTTAGGCAGTCGTTCACCACTGCATGAACTCAATGATACTGTCGCTGCCATAAAGCTTTCGTATGTCCAGTCAGAAACATGATGGTAAAATATCATTGCTCCTGTGAGATGAACACAACAATAGCTGAATAAAGAGTCTCTTGCGAGTTCATGGGAAACATAACTTTTGTGCATTTGAGTCTGATGGTGCTCACATGACAAAAATCACACATCTGTGCAAAAAGCTCTCCTCCGCAGACTACACTTATTCCACCAGGATGCACCACAGGAAGTCGCTCCTGCCTGTGGTCAAAATCCTCCCTCAGAGTTTCAGACATTCTTAGTCTTAGCCCCATACTTTTTTTTCACCCTGTCAGCACATTACAACTTCATTTATAATAAGTTATCTTCTATTGTTTGTGCACTGTAGTTTTGTATGTTTCTATTGAGCTTCTTTTCATACATTGTATTAATATATACCTCTTCTTATTTTAAACTCTTACCTATATTTTGTACTTCTATTCTTGTAATTGTCTTGGTATGTATATATTTAAAATTTTTGTCTAGAGCCCTGGCAAGAAAACCAATTTCCCCCGGGGTCAACAAAGTATTTCTGATTACTAATGTTGATATGTTATTACTAAATAATACACACAATACATTGTATAGACTGTAGCTATCACAATAGACACTCAATGAATGTCAAGAAGATTGTTTTGATCACAAACAACCTTTGTATACTGGCATGTCTACAGAGTGATACAAGGGAATCCTACTAATGAGTGTTTGTGTGTTAGTCTGGAGGTGGAGGTTGCTGAATGACCTCAGGGTTTTCATTTTAAGTATTAAAAGTGTAATAAACTTATAAAAACAGCCAGTTCAATCATTAACTTATATCAGATATATGTTGCCTTTTGTTTATTTTGCAAAAGGTGTTATGGAATTTTCATAGACACTGTGTCTTGTCCTCTCTGGGGCATAGGTTTCAAAGGTTTCAAAGGTTTTATTTGTCATCTGCACAACAGATACAGCGTACATGTTGGCAATGAAAATCTTAAATCCCGGGCACCTCAAGCAACTCAACATGCAAGTGTCATAAAATAAGAGTAACTAAAAATACAAATAACATACACTAATGCATAGTGCAACAGGCTGTTGTGTTTGGTTAGTGTGAGAGCTTGGCGAAGGTCAAAGCCTTCACTCCCTAGACATCACAGATATGAGACTGTGTAAGCAGGCATTACTGTCTCCATAACTAGAAAATACATTTGATTGTTTAGGAATAAGCACACCCATAGATTAAATGATCTGTTTGGGTTTAAAGTGTGACTGCAGGAAAGCAGACTTCAGAATATGAGAGAGCATCATGCACAGATGAATTCTGATTTTCTCCTTGGCCAAGCTTCAATAAATATTTCAGCATAAGACATCAGAGGGCTCCTGAGCGCTTTCTTCATTGATGAGTTGACCATTGATCAGCAGATTTTCCACAACAAAAGGGAAATTTCACCTAAACCCAGATAAGGGATTCAATTCGTGATTTTAGACATCAACTGGAACATTCGTTAAAAGGTCCATCTCTATTTGAACCTTTGCAAACACACAGTTATGTTATTTAGACAGATTTTAGAATGGAGTCTGCTCCATTCTAAAGTAATACCACAGCTCTGTGGAGGTGTCAGAGCCCTGGTCGAGAGGTGCAGGATGAGGCATGTGTTACCTGGCGGTGCTGAGTAACGGGTGCTGGGTCCCCACCAGCTTCCTGACGTGCATGGCCACGTTACTGAGTTCATCGCTGAGCAGGCAGCGGAGGCTCATGAAGGAGGTGGGGTACCCCACGATCTTCTCTGCCTCGGACACCACTTTGCTCCAGTTGGAGGTTCCGGAGCTGGAGAACAGACTCAGCGTCCTCTGTCCTCGGCTCGACACCGTCCTGCAGCACAGACGCGACCACACGTTGAAAAGCATTTTGTCTAAATACTCTTTCTATTTGGAGACAGTTGACTGAAGTGTCATTCAGGTGCTTGCTGCCATCTTCACTCGGTTTCACCAGTTTGAACCGAGGCTAACGCTCCGACGTGTTCTTAAACAATGTCACCTCTGTAGTTTTGATGAATAACTATAATTAAATATCCGGACGAAGCTAACAAACTGTCACTGTGAGAATAGGAAGCTGTTTCACAACACACGACCTAACACAGGGAGCCGCCATCTTGGTTCACGTAGTATGTGACGTCATGAAACGTAATCACGGCTGCTGCCAGATTCCGACGCGCCCACTTTCTGAGAGCACTTCCGGACAAAGTCAGTGATAATCTGAGTTTTATTACAATTCATTGATTTGTTTCATAGAATAAATGATCATATATTAACTTATTCAAATTTCCACACAGTTAAAAATCGACATGGCACAACTTCCATATATTTTCTATAAAACAATTATTAGATATTATTACATGTATTTATCAATATTTGAGATATTTAAATTAAATGTTTTAATATGTGATGCATACATATTTATTTTATAATTAAGCAGTATATCCGTTTAAATACATCACATTCATTTGTTTTATACTCATAAATAAATAAACAGATAATTTATATATAGAATATTTTGTATGTAATTAGGTATACTAATTTGTATTATATATATAGGTTCAAAGCTGGTAGCTGTTGCTGCCTAAAAATCTTTTATTACTAAGTTAGACAGATATTTTTTTCAGGTATTTTACCTTGATTTTCCACATCTTCTATACTACATAGTATAAACCAGTAATGTTCAAATTGGTTTAAATTGGTTTAAACCACTAGATATCTTAAATGTAAAATGTAAGGGAAAATGTAAGTTAATATAACATTGTAATGATTTACAGCACAAATAAAAAATACATTGACTTAATGCTGGGGTGGGCAAAAAGACTACTATTGCATTGTCAGTACACATAATATATTAATATGAAAGCCTAATAAAGTCTGCAAAATGTAAATTGACAAATGTCAACAGACAAAATATAAACTAATCTTCAGCAGATTTTTTAAAATCAAAATCAGAAATTGCAGCACCAGTCTTACACAGTATCCATGATTAGATAATATGAGAGCCCATGTGTTCTGCAATCTGATGTTGATGTGTGAGTCATGTTTGATCATCATTTTTCACTGGATCAGTCTGAAACATCACAAACTTGACCAAATTGTGACTGCTTTTGTCAGATCACTGGATAGTGTAGTTACAGCTGCATGTTTCGTATTTAGTCGGATTACTATGAAGCAACAACATGCGTCCAAAGATTTTACCTCAATGTGGAAACACTTTGTATAAAATCTGTCTTTAGTTTTGTCCTAACTCGTTGTTTGATTGTGTTATGGCAGATCAAAAACAGCCCATTCAAATGTTTAATGTCATGTGTGTCCAAGACTACAATGAGGTAAATCATTTATTTGAAACCAAGGTAAAAAAAAAAATGTTGAGAGTATTCATATAAACCAAACCGTTGAAAAACAAGCTCTCTTACAAAATCCTTGATGATATAACAGCTCCACAGTTTAGAGGGAAAAGACCCAGCAGTGTTATAACAATGCTTTCATTGAATCCTACTCCATATGCTTGTTACTGGACTGGAGACAAAGTCTGTTAAACACAGCTTAAACGACACAGAGCTGCTGAATAGACTCACGAAACAAACACACATACATGAGTTATACAGACAAAACATTTGGTCTTGATCTGATTAAAATAGCTGCAGTATATTGTAGGGTATTAAGAAATGTCACGGGATTTTATCATAAAAATCACAACTGATTAATTTATATTATGCATGTTTTATTTTAATTTCAATCATTTCTTCAGTTTCTTCACATATTCATAGCAACTGTTTTAGATCAGCCTCCAACTCAGTTAATGCATAATATATCATCAGAAGCTTTCCACTTATATTCCTTAGCTGGAGAAACACAGGAATCGTGTGCTGCTGGGTTTGTGAGGCGAGAGCGGCGCTGGAGCACTCAAGTCATCTCACCCTGACCCCATGTCACGGTTCACAGCTCCCGTTCCTGCTGGTTTCCTGGCTGAAATGGGTGTCACCGCACCACGAGCAGCCCTCTCTGTGGCTCTCCACCTGTCGACTCATTGTAATTCCACTTAAAGTCAGAGGGCAGCATGTAGCACGCAGCTGTGACGGATAAATCAATGCCCAACGCTAAAATCATTTATCCTCATGTGCCAATAACTACAGTTTTGCATTAACTTAGAGGTTGTGGAAACCCACTGTCAAACAACATGCATCACTGCAAGATAGGCGTATAAAACAACTTTATATGAATATATATTCCAAAGTGTGTTTACATGTATATGTTAACACATGTAGAGATACAGTACAGAGGACATGTATGTGCATAATCATGGCAGTATTGAATAAATGCAGGCCATACGACAATGTTTCCCCCCTGGACAAATCTGTTGGTCTTTCTAAAGGTCATGTTTTCACCCCAGTCTGTTTGTTTGTAACCGAGATTATGAAAAAACTACTGGACGGATTACCAAGAAGCTCGGTAACAGATGTGGGTCAGGGAAGAATCCATGAAATATTGGTGTAGATCTGGATCAAAAGGTGGATCCATTTTTTTCTCTCTTTCTTTAAAATTGAGAGAGAGGGCGTTTTTTTAACTATTCCTTTTATTTCCCAGATAAGAATTCATGGATCTTGAAAAAAAATGTGCAAGTGTGCAATTTGGTGCAGATCCATACAAGAGTTTGTTTCTGGTGGATTTAGATGTGGTTTCATCAGGAGACTGTTGGGTCTTGGCAAAGTTATAAACTCATGAATGCCATAGTTGGAATAAGGAGTGACTAATTCTGCTCCAGTTATCGTCTTTTAACACTTAATGTGAGATGTTAATTGTTATGGATCAGTTGATTAACGTAAAAAATTAACGTGGCCTCGTGTCCAATGAAGGAACCAAACTCTGGGATCTCTGCAAACATGTTTAATTAGAATGGATGTTATTATATAAGTCTTGAGACAACAGACCCCAGTGTTTGTTTATTTTCACCGTGCACATTGTTAGCTCATGGAACAACCTGGGGGAAAAGAAGCAGGACTCTAAAGGCCAAATGGAAACTTTATTTTAAGCATGATGATTCAGACATTGCAGAAGTAACACACCAGAAGTTTCCTTTGGCCTTTAGAGAGTGTGTTACACCTTTTCCCAACTTAAGATAAAAGTTTTTTTTTTATTATTACACACTCACACACTTTCATTTCCTCAGTCGAGAAAACTCATGAAACACCTGCTGCACTGAACTTCTCACTACGCAACAATTAAGATTTTTTCTTTTCTTTATTTTTCTGAAAAACATAATACGCTTTAACAAGGAACAATTTTCAAAATATATACAATGATATGTGACTTTGCTCAAATGGAGCTAACAGAAAATAAGAAATGTCTTAAATGTTGAAATATTGAATCAGCAATGATATTTGTAGCCATTTTCATGCATGAGCTGCAGTAGATGTCCACATATTAAGGTCAGGACCTTCTCTGGGGTTTGCCTTTCACTCATGAACAGTGCAGCAGAATACAGAAATCAAAACGTTCAGGTGAGGGTGGAGCAGGAAGCAGAGACAGGTGGTAAGGTTACATTACCTTGCTACAGAGATCATGTGTTTCTGTTTACAGCTCAGCTCTTTGTGTCTTCTTCCATGTGCATGGCTCTGCTTTTTCATCCTGAGATATTTGCTTTCTTTTTCTTTTTTTCCTTTTCGCATCTGTAATAACATCATCAACACGCCCACTTGCCCATGGAGAATCCTGCAGAGATCTCCTGCTGTGTTCTCACATGGCCTCATTTGGAAATTTGGCAGTTTTTACTAAGGGGGCTGGCAGGAGAGGAACTCCGGAGAATGTCCAGAGCCTCTTACTGGGACATCGGTGTTCTCACATATACAGTTCATGTTCATTGTGCCCCAGTTATGGCCCCTGATTTAGAAAAACCCCAAAACCTAAATGCAAAGTTTAAAAAAATATATGAAACCCTCCAAGCAGCAGCTACTTAGTTTCAAAATGTCCTTGAGCAAGGCACTACTCTCACTGCATATGTCTCTGCCTGGTCACGTCAGGCTGAAAGTCATGCCCATGCAACTCAACCCTCCAGACTTTTTGACTTTGTGGTGTTCGATGACTGCAGCGGGGGAGAGTGTAACTGATAGAGACTCAGTGGAGAACAATGTGGGTCTGGAGTGGGGGGTGTGCGGGCACCTGTTAGCCGCCGTACACACTGTCACCATGAGGGAGCAGCGCTAAGTGGATGTGAGCGCGCTGATTGCGCTCCATGGGAAAGCGAGAAGAAATAGCCCACCTCTGATCATCAGCGCGTCATATAATGTTTCAGCGGACGCCCCTCCCCCTGTCTCGTTTTTTCCCCTCACTCAACCTCTCCTTTGACTCACAGAGGCGGCTCACCACTGGCGCACGGACCCGCGCAGGAGGACACGGCCAGAAGATGGCTGACTTAGCCGGGCGCCGCGAGCCCTCGGCGGCATCCCCCGCGTCACACGGGCCGCTGCGAAGCTGCGAGACGCCCGCCGTCTGGCGACTGTGAACCGGCCTCACTCCCTCCTCCGCTCACCGCAAATATTGACAGAAGCACCGCAGAGAAAACATGGCAGAGATGGAGAAAGAGGGCAGACCCCCGGAAAATAAAAGGAGCCGAAAGCCTGCGCACCCGGTGAAGAGGGAGATAAATGAAGAGATGAAGGTAAAGAAAGGAGGGTCGGTCCAGCTGCATGCGATTACGCGTGGAAGCGGAGTGGATTGTGCGTGCGTGTGCGTTCGCACTTCAAATCTGCACAATACAGTCAAGTGCAGGTGGCTGCAGGATGGTGAAACTCTGATTAGTGATTTTCTCTTTGCACAAGTTCTTTTGTCACGTCAATATTTCAGCCTCAGCTGCGCACTCAGCCAAGACCGCCGTGCACAATGGATGCGGCACCATCCGCCGCTCCTGTACTGTAGTAAGTTTTGGAGCAGAGGAGAATCAGTGCGCGCTCCTGTCGCTTCTTGACATAATTCCGCTGTTTGTGTGCGCTGCCTTCCATGGCTCACTCGGAGTCAATGGAAAACCCAGTGCGTCAGTGTAGGCGTCAACAGAGCCTCTACTACTGCTATTAATACTGTTCCACTCCGGCGCAGCGCAGGGCAGCCGCGGTTCATAATTAGTGTAAATCAATGGGGGAACACTCGCGCAACCAAGATGTGTTTGCGCGTCCGTGTGGGTCTGCCTCACAGCGTGTGTGTTTGTGTTTATGTGCGTGTGTGCTGCCCAGCTGCCCGGAGGCGTGCGATCCAGATGTGCGTATGTGTGTGTGTGTGTGTGTGCGAGCTTTTACGCATTCGACAGGAGCACAATGTCTCCAGTGTTCGGCCTGCGCGATTATCCATCCCAATATTCAGCCACACGTTGTTTCTAGTCGTGTGTGTTTGCGTGTGTGTGTGTTTTTTCCTCGGCGCACATTGTGATATCTGAGCCCTGTGCTCCGTGCGGTTCATTGTGGAGAAAGAAAGTGTTCCTGGCATGTGTGTGTGTGTGTGTGAGAGGCAAGCTGTGTGTCCGCTTTGTCTCCATCTCTTCATTGTTTGTACACATTTGGCTGAAGGCACACGAGCAACCCAGAGGTTCTGTGTTGTTGTGGATGGATGTGCAGGTGATCACACCGAGGATAATTGTGGAAATTATGATTTTTAGGCTGTCAGTGGGGGAAGAGAGGGTGCTGGCTGCGAGAGAGTCCTGAAACAACCCTGGCATAAAGGCTTTTTGTATCCAGACCTCTCCAAAATACCATTTGCCAGCGCTTCTTTTCTGTGACTGTAAAATAAAACGGGGAAATGTGCATATAATTGATGATTAGATGATTCTTTTAGGGGGGTGGGAGGGGGGAAGTCAGCTGCCAAGATGCCTTTTATTATTATCATAGAGCAATAAGAAACAGGCAGTTAACTAGAACAATCTTACAGGATAATGTAACATTTTAATTAACGGAGTAACCTCTTTATTTTAGTTTATTTTCATAGTTGTAGCATTGAATAGAAGCAAAAACCTGAATTATTATGTCCTTGCTTGTTTTTTAAAAAATGAACTGGAGGTGAGTTCATTTAATAATAAGATTTGAATTGCTTGTTTAACTGGACAAAAACCTTGATAATGATTAAAAATGTTTCATGCGCTTCGGTTTGTGAAGGAATACAGTTAACCCTGCATTGTGCTGCTGGCTGGTCCTGATGACAGGATGCAGGAGGTGTGTGTGTGTTTGTGTGTGTGTGTGTGAGTATGTGTGTGTGTGTGTGTGTGTAGTGAGGGGGGTGTCAGGCAGGGTCTCACCATGGAGAAATTTCCTCATTTCTTATCAGGGGAGCACTAGAGGTTGTCTCAGCGGAGCGTTAAAAATGGCACAAATATTTATGAGCATCCTTATGGCACAGTGAAGGACCGTCTATATAAGCACAAGTCCCGATTTAATGTAATCATTTTAAATATCGTAACAGAAATTTGGTAAAATTTTAAAGAAATCTATTTGGACTCATGCTTTTTAAAAAACAAAGAAATGAGATGTCCTGTATTGCAATTCATCACACTTAACAAATAATTACATGATGTCAGACGTCAGTCAGAAATGATGTTTTATTTGCAGCTCTGTGTGTTTTGCTTTTTGATGGTAGATTGTGTGACACAGGTCATTATTCAGGATTCAGTGAATTGACGCCATTTATAATATTTTGCGGAGAGCCGACATGTCAATTAAACAGCTCATTTGATGGAAGCAGCTTAAACTGTCAAATGGTAGAGGATGCACACACACCAGACCATGTGAAAATATCAGCAGTATTTTTAGATGTACAATACAGAGTGCACAAAGAAATCAGCTGATTCACCTGATTGTACTGGGGATTGAACGGCTCACCCCCTGGTTTGTGAACCCGCTCCACCTCCTGAGCCAGAGCTATAGTGTTGTATTGATGGTGTTTAGAAAAAGTTAGGGAAGCTATTGAATGGAGCAGCAGATGTGGATACGGTGTCGAAACCTGCCAAGTATTACACTTAGATACAAAGCCAAGTGTAAATCTGGAGCCAGGATTATGGCCGTCAGAGTCCCTGTTAATTAACACTATATGCCATTTGTTGTACGCTGGCCTTCCCAGAATAAGCAGCAAGTGAATTTTAATGTAATATATTTAATTTATTAAGTCCTCAGACTAATCTGAAGTGTTCAGAACAAAGACACTCAGTTTGTTCTCTTCTTTAGATTCTTTCAGTCTCAATATTTCACTCCAAGACCAGAGGAAAAAACTCTAAGGCAGAGCCACAATGTGCCCTTGTTGTGAGGGATCATGGTCTGAAAAAACAGCAGTCCGACAGTGTTTCCTTCATCTGGCTGCTTAATGTGTGCCACGGTAAAATAAGCCCTGGTGAGTAATCAAGGAGAAGAAGGAGGAGCGGGTATACGGAGGGGATAGGAGACGCTGCTGGAGAGTGGGGTAAAAAACAGGGGAGAAAGGAATGTATACAGCGCTGGGCTGGCTAAGCTGTAAAAACTGTAACCTGAGTGTCTCTGCTGGATCAGATATCAAGGAAAGTAGGGGGAAATGAAAGCAGAGGAGAGGGAAAGGCAGAGGAGGAGAGAGGGAGCGAGGGAGTGGAAAAGTGGAGTAGGAGGAGGAAAAGGGAAACTTGGCGTGTGGATTCGGGAATTTTATCATGGTGTACTGTGACCTGCTCTGGTTTCTATCCGCAAGGTATCCAGTTCCCACCATCGTCATTACCACAAATCCTACCGGCCGTGTCTGGGTCTTAGTGGAGGGAAACAAGAGGGAGACTGTGGACAAACAGGATTTTCTATGTATTTTTTTCATTATCTCCTGGCAGTGAAGAGCAGTACATTATGATTACAGTCCACTAAACTACTAATTATCCTCCAAATTTAAACGTAAACTTGCTGGAGGACCCAAGCCTCTGTAAAACCACCAGATTGTCTATAAGTGGGCTCTGACTAAAGGGGGGCTGATGTTTTCTTCTTGTCATCATTATATCAGAGGTCTGATCCACAGTGTTCAACATAGGCAGAATTAAGAGCTAATAACTCCAAGGGCCTGAATGTACTGGTTGTTAACTACGCAGTGGCAAGATGGCTGCTTCGCGTATCCTGCGTCCATAGGTGCGTAGGTTGTTCTCGTCCTCAGTACCTAACGTGACACGTCTGCAAGATGCAATACCCACAAGAAAAGCTCGGGGCAGTAGCGGGTCCTTGACAGAGTCAGGGATACGTCATCGGTGACGGAGCTGGTGGACAGTTTTGAAGAAAAGCTCTGTGACCATTTCTGGACTTACCCACATTTGTATGATGTGTCAATGCATTTTCTGTCTTGATCGTGACATCAGCCAAATGCTAATCTCCTTGAGTGTCGCCATCTTTGTTTTTGTGTACCACAAAGTGGCAGAGAAAGATTGGTTGGCTCATTGGAGTTCTGTGGTGTGCCCTCTACTGGATTATCCCAGTAACATGCGTAGTACCTAAGCAAGTATGTGAACAATAACGTTCATGACGCAGCCTGGTGCCTTGGCTTAAATGTATTATTTATACCAGTGACACAAGGGGCGGTCACAATATAGGAAACACCTTTCAGCAAATTGCGATCCTGCGCTCCAGTGCAGCATCTAAAGTGACCATGAGGCTGAGTCACTCTTATGGTGTCATTAATGTAGGTGGTATTTTATTGTGTTAGATTCTTCTGGATAAAAGTGCATCAACAGTAATAAAGTGGCCATTCTGTGTTAGATGTGGTAAAACTATGTCTGCTGCTCAAGGTGGAAATTAGGCGGATCAGCATCTGCTTTAAACCCTTATGATAATTAAACTTGTATTAGGTGGAGCCAGAGTCCTCGGTTTTATTTTTTACTGTGGTACGGAGTTGTGTAAATGTTGAACAAAACTGAGTTGTGATTTGGGCAGAAAGGTTAAAAAGGTTTTTTTTTAAATGCAGCAAGTGCTGTTTAAAGGAAACATACTATTCTCATATTCATGTTAATAATTGTAATTAAGGTTATTACTTGAAAAGGTTTAAATACTCTCAGCTCAGAAAACACATCACTTTCCTCTCACTGTCCATTGCTGCAGCTCCTCTTTTCAGTCTCTGTCTGAAACACTTGGTTTTTGGCTCCTTTCTCTTTAAGGCCCTCCTCCTAATTAAACCCAGTCTGCTCTGATTGGCCAGCTGGCCCACTCTGTTGTGATTGGTAGCTGCTTCCAATGCATGTCGAAAATTTCCACCTCCACCCTCACTTTAATTTGTTAGGGGCGTGTCAGACTGTCTGTTAAGTGATTATGCAAATGTCAGTCGTTGTGACATCACGATAACCCGGAAGTGTCGGGCGGATTTTAAAATGTTTTTTTTATGGGGGTAGAAGAACTCCCTTTTCTGCAGACTTTGGGTTTTATAACTTTGCAAAACTTTTACATCACCAAAGACCTACAACACACTAGAGGTTAGAAAAATGGAAAAAAGCATAATGTTGCTTAAAAATGTACCAATGATAGCGGACATATATTTAAAAACATCCATCATTTATCCTGTGTTGCAGGATAGGGATGCTCTCGCAACAAAACCATTCACTGTGCTGAATTGAGCAAGAGTACTTTTATTTTTTTTATTCAAATTGTAAAATGCTTTTAACGCAACATTTAATACTGATTTCCAATTCTTGAT